GGGGGGGGGGGGGGGGGTGGCTCTGAAAATGTTTGGAGCCGATTTGCATTTCGTCTGAGATGAATATTAAAAAGCTCGTAACATGAGACGTGTAACCCGAGCCTCTTTGATGCGAGGCCCAAAGTAACATCTCTGAAGATGTTTTACAGCTGGATCAGAGTGTGGGATGGTTCCAAAAACCAAGTAAAACTGGGCGAACGACTACTTTCTGTTATTACAGTCAAAAACAAAACTTTATTGCCTTTTTCTTCCTTTTTTTATGTCCAAACCCCAACTCCAAACACCATTTAACAATTTCTGCGTATTCAAATGCAGTTTACAGGTTTTGTACAAAGGGCGGGCTCTATTTTTATCCGGCTAATCCGCTCCGGCGACACCACTTACAATTTTAAGATTAAAGTCTGCTCCTTGATCTTATTTATTCAAGCTAACTTTCCGCACATGTGCAGCCATACGACTCGACTCCCAAGCTCTGTACAAAATTAAATGTTCAACACTGGCTTAAAGTATGGGTTTGGCTTTAAAAGCAATTGTTTAAGTGGATAAAAGTCAAGTTTTTAAAAATAAAATCCCATCATAGATGCATTCAGAGCACAGTTCTCAGTTTTTACGATCGTAAAACAGTATAATTTTTGTTTTCTCTTTACGACTGTACCGGGGCCATGTTCAGTTCTTATACCTATGTTAAGTACTTTCTTAGCTCTATAAGAACCTTCAGGTGATGAAAGATGATGTGATTGATTCATACACAGATGCACGTTGATTAGCAGAAACTGGACGCTCTTCCAGCACCAACACTATAAAACTGAATCAGCTTTGTGAAAATAGATATTTCTTGGCTCGTCCCCATTGTCTGTTGTGATGTACTCGTCTTTGAACATGCGCAGCACAAAGAAGACTGATTTGTTGGAAGAGTCTTGGCTCCTTTAACAACTTCTTCTGATGCTGTTTCAGAGATCTACACCGTAAATCAATAAGAGTCCTTCATTGGTACATGGACTGCACTTATATACTTTCTACCTTATCAAGATACTCGATGCGCTTTACACTAAAATCTGTGCGCTCATTTACCCATTCACTAGATCTCTACAAAGAATATTCAGTGCTTTATCACATTCATACACCAATGGGACACACATCAAAGGCAATGAGGGGTTCAGTGTCTTGCCCAGGGACACTTCAGCATGTGACTGCTGGTGGAATTGAACCCCCAACTCTCACATTGGAGGACGACTGCTCTAACCACTCAGCCACAGTCGCCCCATTCGTACCACTGGTGACTGTCCTATTCTGTACATGACTGTACAGACCGTTAGCCAAGCAGCCTCCTGGTGGTGCGAAAGCAAACACGTTGGCGTCTTAACTGCTTTTTAGTGGAATTCTTAGTCCTACAATCTTAGGAAAGTCCTAGTAGCTGGTCCAAATACACAGGAAGTCAACGCCTGATGTAAAATCAGGTGTGCTGAAGCAGAGGAATTTCTAAATGGGAAGGATAGTGGCCCTCAAGGAACAGGACTGGACATGGATCTGAGCAAAACCTGGAGAAACACTGATGCAAAATGGTCCAATATGGTGCTCAAACTGTAGTACAAGTACCACTGATAGTACTCTGGACCCGTCTGGCCTTTGGCCCCTCTGACAAACTGCATTTTGATGAACATGTGAATTCACTTTGTAAGAAGGCCACCAGAGAATGTATTTTTATCAGAAGATTTGTGGTTTTAATGTTAATTCTACTTTTATAAGAATGTTTCATTGAGTCTCTTTTAACGTTCACCTTGATCTGTTGGTTTAGACTTTTGACATGCAAAAACAGGAACAAACTCTTGGGAATGTGCAACAAAACTGCTGACATAGCCCTGCAGAACCTCACTGACCTACACAAGATGAGGTCAGTGAACAAGGCCAGGCTGATTCTGGCAGATCCTGATCATCCACTCCATGGTGAGTTCAGGTGCTTCCATCTGGACGCAGGTATCTGCTGCCCAGATGTAGAACGAACAGACTGAAAAACTCATTCATCCCTGTGGTGATCAGGTGATTTCTGTCCTGTTACTTTAATGTCTCGATGTCTTGTCTAGTATGGATGTTTTGTGTAACTACTAAATGTGAAGCAGTTGCCACTTGGGGATATTAAACATTCTTGAACTTAAACTCTGGTAAAACTCAGAACAAAGTTCAAATTTTTAAAAGTTCAATAATCAGATAATGAACCATCATGAGCTTGAAAACAAAGAGTCAAAATCTGAACAGTTCATGCAAATTCCAGTCAACTGGTTTGGACAATAAATCAAGAACCCCTGTGGAAACCAGATTACCGGTAGATGGCGGCTACGTAAACTGTGCCAGTAAAATCAGTGTCAGACCTGCTGGCAACAAAAACTTTCACTTAGTTATCTCAAATTTGATCTCAGTTGTGGGGCGGAGTGGCTTTTCCATCACATCGTGTGGTTACGGGTTTGGTCACATTGTATTTTATCAGATATGAACATAAACTTGTCAAATTTAGGTCTGTTGCATTAAGAGTAAGTGGAGACCATAGTATTGTCTGAGGTGGTACCGGTTTAAAAAGCTTAACTTAATGCAGTGAGTTTGTCAAGTTGGCTTTTTTTGTTTTTAGAAAATTACTTTAAAGACTGAGTTTTCTGGTTTTCTTGCTCAAAATAAAATAAAATACAAAAGCAGCTAATTGGTATACTTTTTAAAATATTCTGCCTCCCCTCCCCCATACATGCACGTTCATTATCCCCAAAGTGCTGGTGAACCACATTTTCCTCTGGTGTACAACCCCCCCCCCCCCCCCCCCCCCCCCCCCCACCCCCCCCCCCCCCCCCCCCCCAAGAAACTTTCCACTGGATTTTATGGTCGATGTGCAATCACTTCATCCAAAGCTGTTCCATGGAAAGAAACTTGAAAGATGTTTAATACATGAACAAATGCAGACAAAGAGCTGATTGCGAACTTCTAATAGCTCAAATCTACACAGTTTATTCAGTTAAACTCAGTTACTTAAATTTTAATTAGTGTTTGTGTAACTCTAAGCTGCTCGTGCTGTCCTGATAGTTAAAATCCGCTCAAGCTCTTCTTTGGAGCTCCACAAGGTGGCGCTCTAACCAGTCCCACAGCATCACAAAGTTCTCAAATGAACTTGAACCTATAGGGAAACCTCAACTTCATGTTAAATGTAAGAAAAAACACCTAAAAGCTGCGGTTATGTCTAGTTTTAGTTTTTATTCTAGGCTTGATCGGGATGTCGTTGAGCTCATGACATCATCACGGCCCCCATGACGACAGATGACATCAAACATGTTCCCACCTAAAAAAAAAAAAAATCAAGTGAAACAAGAACTCTCAGGTGTTTCCATCCTGGATCTCAGCCTCCTCACATCTGTCCTGCATTACCGTGTTCCCTCGGAGGCGCTGCTGAAACTCTTTTCACAGATGTGCAGTCCAAAGGGGAAACAAGTAGACGCTCCTCCTGATACTTAATGACTGCTCCGAAGAGCTGCTAGAGTAATGCCAAACCACAAAAAGGTGCTCGTCCCCCCCTCAGGTACTCTTTTTCAGAGCCTCGGAGTGACATCACCTGCAGTCACTGACAGATGTCTGACAAGTTACAGACGCTCCTCAGGACAAGCTGTCTCTAAGATAAACAGACCCTCAGATGACCATGTAAGGCTTCACTTAAATGTCCACAGCACAGAGAGTCCTCATGTGTGAGGAGAAATGTCCCTTGGCACAAGAAAACCAACACAGGATGCACAAAATGAGTTCTGTTGAGCAGCTTCTCAACAGCAGGACCACAGATCTCCTGCAACCTTGAACCCCAAAGCTGACGGGTCAACCACCTCCACCTTCACACGTTCTGACCAACAAAAATCAGTTGTTGAGACAAACAAAGTGGGGCGACACTTACCGCCTGCTCCTTCCTGACATGTCACAATCAAAACCTGAGAGACCAGAAGAAGAAAGGTCCTTAAATGCACCGGGAACATCATGTCTAGGAGACAGACATGAGCCTTTCTGTGCAACGTGAAAAAAAAAAGAGGGGGAAAGGGATGGAAGAAAAAAAAAAGAGCTCCAGTTATCACAGCACCACCATGAATAGAGGAGCGCCTCTCCTTGTAAGCAGCAGGCAGACCCAGCCCAGACTGTGCCGTTCTTTTTGTTTTTTGTCTAGTTACAGCTTTAACTGAGAAGAATGCTGGCAAGCCTAATTTTCCTCCCCCTTTTGTCCCACAGCCATCCCCTCACAGAGAACTACACCCATGTTCACGGGGTCTGTGAGCCTCTCTCGCCAGATAAAGATGAATTTGATTGGAGTTTTTTTTTTTTTTTTTATGTTATTTATGGTCTTTATAAACTGTTACTGCAATTTCTTCAAGACTCAGTCTTATCTCATTTTTTTACTGTCAGTTCTTGTTTTCTAAACAGGAAGTGGAGCTTTAAAGAAAGGACAGAGCATTTTGATTTTTTCATAGAATAATCAACGTTTGAGTGAACGTGCAGCAGACTGTCAGTGTGGGTGGTCAGAATGCACAGGTGGTCACAAACCTCAGGCTACAACTTCTCAACGTTTACCTGCAACAAATGGTTTAATCCCTGATTGGATTGAGAGACAAAATGAACCCTTTGTGTGTGACTGATGTCACAACGGTCACTTTAAATCAGTTTTTTTTAACAGACTGACTGGCCAAAACATTAAGCAAATAGGTACGAGCCTCCTATTGGATAATTACTGCATGTGTGATTATCTTTCAGCTGGCAACAAGTGATTTAACCCCAACTGGTGCAATGAGTTGCTTCTCATTTCTTAAACAACCATGATGTGGAAAGACACATCACATGGTCGTGGAAAAGATGTCAGTCTGTTTGAGAAGGGTCAAATCATTGGTATCAAGCAGAGAAAACATCTAAGGAGATTGAAGAAACTACTAAAATTAGGTTAAAAACTGTCCAACGCATTATTAAAAACTGGAAGGATAGTGGAGACCCATCGTCTTCGAGGAAGAAATGTGGCTAGAAAAACATCCTGAATGATCCGTGATCGGCGATCACTTAAACGTTTGAAATCAAATCAAAGAAAAACAACAGTAGCACTCAGGGCTATGTTTAATAGTGAAAGTAAGAGCATTTCCACACGCACAATGTGAAGGCAACTCAAGGAATTGGGAATGAACGGCTGTGTAGTCTTAAGAAAATCACTAATCAGAGAGGCTAACCGGGAAAAAAAGGCTTCAATTTGCTAGAGAGCATAAAGATCGGACTCTGGAGCAATGGAAGAAGGTCATGTGGTCTGATGAGTCCAGAGTTACCCTGTTCCAGAGTGATGGGTGCATCAGGTAAGACGAGAGGCAGGTGAAGTGATGCACCCATCATGCCTAGAGCCTAGTCATCAATGCAAGATCTTGGTGAGAAATGAATGCAACACTGGATGGAAATAGATCTTGTTGTAGAAGTTTATCGAAACAATGCGACAGCGAATGCATGATATAATTGAAGCGAAAGGCGGTTCAACGAAATATTAGTGTGTGACCTTTTTTTTTGGTTAGGCAGCGTATATTTTAGCTTTCAGCTGCAGAATCAGCTATTTAATAAATAATTTGTTAGTTTAGAGAAATACACACAGCCTGCCATCTTCCACCTAAACAAAGAGCTGTTGGAGCTCACAGTCTATGCTGATGACTCTCACCTACTGCCTCAATAACATTTAACTCAATATATCTTTAAAGTTAACTGAGGTGCAGATATTTTTTCTGTTTTCCAACACCAGAAGGGTGTGTGTCTGTGTTTGACTCTGCATGGATAGTTTTGATCTTGTGCAAAGGAGGAAACTTGTTCTTGAATTTTGTTCTTCATTTTTTTTAATGACTGTTGTTTAGTCATTAAAAGATCCAAATTACTGACCCTGATGACGAGCGGATGTAAACTTCTGACTGTAACTAATTTACAAAACAAAAATGTTGTATAATTAAGCCTAAATTGCTTTAAGTTGCACAGAAATTCAACAACAACAAAAAAAAAGGTTAAAAGTTTGATTTTACAAAACATGCTAGTCGTGCTCACTGCACCAGGTGAAGACTGTGTGTGTGTGTGTGTGTGTGTATGTGTGTGTGTGTAGGGGTGTGTGTAGGGGTGCGTTTGTTCCAGGCTACATTGATTGTGGGGACCAAAGCCTGGTCCCCATAAGGATAAGTCTCAATGGGGGTGTTAGGGTCAGGGTTAGGCTATAAAAATTAAAGAAAAATGAGTTGAAGTCAGTGCAAAGTCCCCACAAAGTGAGAACTACAAGAACGTGCGCATGTGAGTGTGTGTTTGTGTGGGTAATGAGAATGAGGCGGTTCAGGACATTAGAGTCCATCAAATGGGAAAGCCAGCTGTTTTCTTCCTGTACACCCCCCCCCCCCCCACCACCACCACCACCACCACCACCACCACCAGTTCCTTCAGAATCCCTCAGAGCTTCAGCTTCAGCTTTTGTTTTATCTGAAACCTGAAGGAAGTGAACACCTCCTACCAAACATTTAGTTTTTTTTAAATACAAGCTGCTGGAGAGAAAATGAACGGTGTGTGGGAATGAGTTGGTTTGAAAAGTGTGCAAGTTGTGAGATTAGCTTCTTTTTAGTTTGAAAGTAGCTGGCAGGTTCACCAGTACTTGTGGTGCAGTGGTGGAGCCAGGGGGTGGCCAATGGTGACTTTGGTTGGCCACCATAGGGTTTTCATTGGCCGTGCCAGTCATTTGAGAAAATTATACTTTTAAGCAATGTAAAAACTAGAAAGCATAATTTCTCAAAAAATAGGGGTGACCATTGTACATTTTATATATATAT